TTAAGCAATATCTATAAAATATGGAATATACAAGATGCATATTGTTACGTCTCCGTTCGTTAGTTAATTAATTTTCTGTAAATTCGTTCAAACGAAACTTTAGCGACATAAGTCCTTTCTTAAATAAAACTGGTTTATTCTTTCCGAATACAACTTTACGATACACTTAATTTCAATAATCGCTCTATAACAACACTATAATTCACGTCTCACGTGGCCAACAATATTTTGTCCGCATACATTCAATTACTCATTACACTGTTGTCCCGTCACGTTTTGAACGTCTTATATATACAAGACTAACACATGTCTAGTAAATGCTAGGGCATTCGTGAAGGAACAGGATATTTCTAGAAAGACGTGGCGTGATACTAGTCACGTGACCTAGCTGATGCAACAATATAAAGATTTTATTATCAAATTAAAAAATATAATTACATCATTTATGGAATATGTCAAAATAAATGGAGAAAAAAAAGTTAAAACCATGGAAAACAAACAGATTTTTATAATGTATAGAAATATAAAAAAATTGCCAACCTATAACGAATTGGTGGTGCTACTATAGCGTGAGGTCTACCACCATATGTCGCCTACCCAGGTCTATCAAACATGTATAAAAATGTATCAAATTAAGTGTTTATCGCTAAAATAAATGTATGGAAATGTGTGATACATTTTTATACATGTTTGATAGACCTGGGTAGGGTGACATATGGTGGTAGACCTCATGCTATAGTAGCACCGAATTAACTTTGTCTTTAATGCCTATTGAACTGTGAGGAAAGTCAAGGGTAAAGTTTTTCCTTTTAATAGATTTTCAAAGGGAAGGTGATTACTAATGGAAGAATAGTACTTAAATAATGGTTTCTTTCATTAAAAATGTTATTAATAAAGTAATAAAGAAATCCATATATTGACCAGTTTCTTTAATTGTTGATGGTAAGATTTTTTTTTATTGACTATATTAACAAAGAATTATTAAAACTTGTTTTTTTGAAATTCAAGACACTGAGGAAGTTCATCATTATTGTAAGTTTGCCAGTGTGGTTCATGTTTTAAAAAAAGGTTAAGGGATTATCCACAAAACAACAGGCCAATTACATTGACTTTTATTACTAGCAAGGTGCTGTATTTTATTGGCAGTCAACTAACAATTGTCAGCATGCTTTTAAGAAAAAAAAGGTGCTCTTACTTTACCAGCTTAGGTTTTGTATAAGAGTTAAATTATTTTAAATCATTGTTGTTGTTTTTTGAGTTAAATAGAATTCAAATACTTTCTTTTCTATATCCAGTTTTAATAAGAATGTTATATATGAACAATAAAAAAGGTGCTCCTTTGAATGTGATTCAACAGTTGACTATTTTCTGTAGATGGAAATAAATCCTTTAAACCTACCAAAAGTTAGAGAGAGAGCACTCGTGACTCACAAGACATTTAAGATTTTATAAGAACTCATGAAAATAAATATCTCATGTAGATTACTGTCATGATTAGTAAGTGTAAACTTGTTTGCACTAAGGAAGCAATGAAATAAGCTGAAAAAATATACAGTGACAGGACTTCATTGTTAAACAATGTAAAACAAGGATAAAATTATATGTAGTATAGCAAACAGGTCTAAAAAATTATATAACAAATACCCATCATTTTTTGAAGTTGTTTTTATAATTTATTTTTTTTTTGGTAATAAATTTTGTTCCCTCTCAGGAAGAAAGTACAAGTTTGAACCAAACAATTTTAAATGTAAACGTAATATGAATATAACATAAAATTTAAATAGATTAAAATATTTATCTTTCAAAAATTATTTGTATAACAGGTAACTGTTATTAATTCTGACATTTTCTAGACAAAAATGTTAACCCAAAGCCATTGTTTTGTTTTTTCAAATTGTTATTTATAACTTGTGCATTGCAGCTGTTTGAATGGGTTCAATGTATATATTTCAGTAGTAGTGATCTTGTTACAAGTGCTTCTTATCTATAGACTAGTGTGAGATGAGCACTATATAGAGTATTTGTTGTATCCAGTTTTCAACTAGTAGTAATAATAAGCTGTAAACAGAAACATTTGGTTCTGTATATACACACTGCTACTGTATGTGATGTTTATGCAGCTACATCCTGGTCAGCCAGAAAAACATTAATTACTAGTACTTCTCTTGCTTGCCAGATGGCTTTCAGTCATGTTTTTACAACAGATCTTCAAGTGTTATGGGGCAGGTGGAGAAACTGTCTTGATATTTTGTGAAAAGGATTTACTATTAATAAATCTCGTTTTTGCTGTTTTTTCTATTCAAACTTGGGGGAATTTTTTAAAATCTTTAAAGTTTTAAAGTTTTTTTTTTAAACATAAAAATTGAAATTGAATTTATTTTCAAATCAACAAATAAATTGTTATTCCTTGATATTTGGTAGCAACAGTTGATTTTTCATAGCCAGATAACTTTTATCCAGATGCTTTGTTTTTTATTCTAGGTATCTTTTTATAATTATCTTAAATGGTACATTTGCTTTTGAAAGAGAACTGTTTACTAGACAGGAATAATGATGTTATGAAATATGAATTTTCTTGAAGTAATAGCTTTCAAATGTTTTGTGATCTCTGGTGTGTTTGTACATATACAATAAATAAAATAACTTTGTTGCTTAGCGATACTATAATACATAATGATTTCCTTTCCATCATTCAACTATATTAACCCGACAATGTTAGGTAAATCATGTGAAACTGTTTTTTGAAAACTAAAAAAGTTTTAAAACATATTGCTTGTTTTATCTGTAAACAAAACTTTAATAATAACTTTGAGCATTTAAAATGCAAAATTACTTAAAACCAGTTTAATTTCATTTAAAATACTTAGTCCTTAACTCTGTTTATGGTGACTTTGGTGTGAATCTGATCCTATAATGTTCATGAAGCGTAATCTATAGTGGTAGGTCATATTTCCACTAATGATGGGAAAATCCAATCTCTAGTATGTGCATGAGTGGCTGACTTGTAACTAATCTTGTAACACATACAGAAATGCAAAAACAACACTTTTAACGTGGACAAGTTTGTTTTTATTTATTATTATACCAAGTTTAAAATCATGATCATAAAAAAAACTTGCAAATTTTTTGCAAGTCTAGATTTTTTTTCACAATTTACGAGATTGAAAATAAGAGGAAAGTGACATAATAAATTTCTTAACAGTAGCACCAGAGTTGTGTACCAGATTAGCATCTTTTTTATTTGTGTACATGTATGTATGAAATTTGTGGCTACAGATAAATAGTGCATAAAACACTTGAATTTAAAACACAGTTATAACTTAAAGTACTGGTGTATGTGTGTGTGTTCTTGAGGGAAAAACAATTGAATGAAATTTATCACATACCAAATGTGATTCATTAGATAAGCAGTAGTAGTACTTATTTATTCTATTGACCTTTAATCAATGTATCAGTCAAATTGCAAACTGAATAAACCTTTTCAACATTTAAAGTAATGCCTTTTGGGTTACAAAAATCTTTTTTTTTAACATTAAAGTTTTTAAAATGAATGTTATTTAATGATAAAGAATTAAAGCAGAACCTGCATTACCAAACCAACCTTCATATTTATTAGATTTTATTAAAATCCTTCCGCATCTTTAACTTCCATATAAGTAAAAAAATTGGAATACTTTTGTAGTGCTAAGTTATGAAGAGAGCTTCAAATAACATTGAGCAGATTTATTGCAAATGATAATGGCAACTATTTTGCTTTAATTTAGAATTAAATAGGTTTGTAAACAAGTATTAAAAACGGCTGAAATTTCAGGCCTTGTTTGTGGTATTATAACACTTAGATTTGACACAAACCCATGAATATATGTCCTGTTTTCAATCTGAACATAATTTAAGCTATGTATCTTGTCTGTATGTTGTTGTGAAAATGTACGTTATATAAGGTACATAATTATATTGAAACTGTTGAGTTTGAGCATTATTAAACAAGAATTTAATCAAACTTTACTATTTATCTATAAATGTTTTGAACATTAATAGTAAATCTGTTAACTAGTAGGCTCAAAATAAAATCTGTACTTATATCTGGAAGTATTATGGATGTCCTCTAATTGCACAGCATAAATGATGGAATTCTTAGGTAACTTACTGTATTTATTAAGTACAAACAGTTGCATTGATTAGGAAGAAAACCTCTCATCAGAAGGAATTTATTGGAACAAATACAATATAAATATAATAGCACTAATGTAATTTAAAACTGAATAAATACAAACCAATAAAAAAACTTGAACTTGCTTTTTTATCATGATTAGTTATTTAATTATCAGATTATCTAATACTTAAACTTGTGACATTTAATCTCATAAATTTTATTTTGTTTTATTCAAAACAGGATTTTGACAACTCAATTAAAAACTAAAATATGCATGTTTTGTTGGTATTTGAGAGAATTATCCCACATTTAGTTCAACAAAATTACATTAACAGCTTAGCAAATGAATTAGTGTGTGTGTTATGCTTTAGGAATAGGATATGAGGTGGGAGGTAAGTATTGAGCTTTCACTAAGCTAAAGAAAAATCTTCAAAGAGAATGATTTTCAGACATTTGTTTACAATACTCAAACTGTAGATTACTACTGTAAGTTTTTTTTTTTTAACTACTTACATGTCTGAAACTTGGTTTTTTATAATTCTTAATTTGATATTTCATTTTTATAAGTGGGTTCCCTCTTTACACAAATTGTTGAGATTGTGTAAAAATTCTGAAAAAGTGGATAAGTATTTTTCAAACTCAGTTTCTTTGGTTTTCCAATTTCCTCAACAAAATAATGACTCAAACTTCTTAGATGGAATACTTAATATGAGTTTGCATTTTCCTTAAAACTGAAAATAGTTTTCAGATAGTTTATAGTAGGTTACATAACTAACTGAAAATATGTATTGTTGATTAAGTTTCAAATGCAAACTTCTTTTAATTTTATGCTTATTTCTTATTACAGATGATCTAAGACAAATTGAACTTAGCTTCATTTGCTAAAGACAAGAAGATCATACTGTGGAGGGTAGCTCTCCACATTCTCCTTTATTTGGAACTGGTTCTGTGTGAAAACTTCCTGCAGTATTTGTCACAATGAGTGAGATTTGGGTACAATGCTTTACATGTTGCATGACAGAACAGCCTCCTCCCGTAAGTAGTGTGTATTTTAAAATCTCTTGTGATTCATTTTACCAGTTTATATAATGTGTGTGTGTGTATTAATTATCAAAACAGGCCTTAACAACTACAGGAAAAATGTTGTATATACTAAGAAAAATCACTGGGGCATGGACTGTAATGTGATTTTTTTTTTTAAATGTTAATTTCATCACTGATCTGTGGTGGTATGCTGTGTTCATTTTAAAGAGAAAATTTGACATTTGTACTATTTGGCATATAATGTTCTGTGTATCTAGCATTAAGTTATTTTTTGTCCTGTTTAATATATGCCAAATTTGATTTCATTATTGTGGAGCTCTTCATAGTTAAAGAGTTCTTTATGCTGGATGCATTTCATTATGAATAAAGTTAAGTTTTAAAAGGTTGTTGCTTATATCATATTTTCTATGGTAAAGGGTGTTTATTGCAGTATTTACTTGCTCTTTGTTAACCCTTCCGTTATGGGCTGTGTGGAATCCACCCAGCTCGTAACCATAAAAGTATCCATGAGAGTAATTGTACTATGATTTTTCATAAATTCAGCACATCTTTATAAAGTTTTGCAGGTTATTGATAAACATTACAAGGTTTTGGTACACAAAATATCAGGTTATTAAATTAAGTATTAAGATTTGTTAAAGATTTTCTCGTAAACCTTTTTTCTTTCAGAATATTGACTATCCAACATGCAAAGCAATTTTGATTTTCAGATTAAAAATACTTTAATGCATTAGAACATTTTCAAATTTCACTTTATATTCTCCAGATAATTATAAATTTTTTTTGTTAAAAAAAACTATTTAATTTATTTTTACAAGTGTATCTCTATTTGGGTTTGGCCAATTTGACCGACCTCATAACCACCATAAAAATTAGGAAATAGAAATAAATTATGCTTTTTTTTCGTTGTACAATGACTACAAATTATAACACAAACACAATTTTAGTCTAACTTAAATCTCATAATGTTATACGTTCATATATATATTTATTATTGTTATTATGTTGACCTTCCAACTGTGCCTGGCTAACAATACAGAAGTTACAATGATGCAGTGCACGTGCACTTGTATCCAATAATATATAACTGACCTTTAGTCTTTACAAAGTGACTTGTTTTGGCTGTGTTTTAGTGAACTAGTATTTTGTAAAATACAGTCGCATTTCAACTATTATACATACATTAAGAGCTTATTTGTAAATAGAAATAAACTTATTTTTCTTAAAACGTAGAACACTAAGTATAGTAAAGCAAACAATTATCTCTTCTAGTTACGACTTTTGTACTCATTTGCCACTTGTCGTAGGTTGCTAAGCCTTATGAAATTTCCCACATGGAGGATGAAAAAAATAAATTTTTTTAGGTTTTATATATACATTTTAACTAACCAAAAAAATCATAAATTACTATATTGATACCATAGAATTCCACTATAATCTATCAAGTGCAGTAACTAAGCTGTATTGGGGTCTAAAAAACTGAAATTTCGAGTTCACTAAAGACTTGCCTCATCATTTGAAATCTTGTGTAAAAAGAATGAAATTAGCACAATAACAAGTCAAAATGGCTGAGAAAACCACTAGGAGGATATTCTGAGCTTTTGATTGGTTATTCATGTCATGTATAGAAGTTGTTTGGAACGAGTTGTTTGATTTAGTACAGGAGCAATTTCTTACGAAATAGAAAAGATAAGACATTCTTATTTTATATTCTAGTTTGTCAATATCAGTAGTTTGAATTCTTAATTCATACAAAACTGTATATTTTGTATTTTAACATCACAAACATCCAATTTGAACCAGTGCTGCATACAACATAGCACACAAAAATTGATGTTTAGCTGTGTTTTTAATGTTTACTTTTAAATTAAGAAATTAACTAATGTATAATACTAAAATATGACTTATAATCTACAAAATGATACCAAACTTATTGACATAGATTCATAAAATATTAGTTCAACAAATGCAATAACATGACCTTTGACATGTCGAGATAGGGTTAAAGGGTATTTTTGTCATGTGGAGTTTAAATTTGCATCATTGCTAAAGGATCTTATTATTGTGAAATGATCAACTTCTGGAATTATTTTCTTTGATAAAGAGTTGATTGCGTATTGTATCTCTTTAAGTGGTTCTGTTTCCATTTTCATACACAGACTTACAGATGTGAGAGTAAGTTAATCCACTCTTTGAGCAAAGTGAGAATTTAAAGTTTATTAGTTTTTAAATTAGTAAATGAAGTCAAGAGGGAGAAAATTGTGGTGTGTGTGTGTGTGTGTGTGTGTGATATATATATATATATATATATTAGTCTTATTCAAAATTATAGCGAGATGTGGGTGCTCTGGCCCACAGCATTCCACATCTATATTGTCCTACAGTTGCAGGAATGTGACTGCTCTCCAAAGAAACATAAAATGAAAATAAGTTACTTCCACTGGGAAGTAAGTAAGGCAACCTTACTTCCTGAAATTGGCATTCCAGTCCTCATTATAGTAGTAAAGGCTGAAATTAATAGATTAATTAGTATACAATAGACAAATTATACTGGTATAAAAGTATGCAACAAATTAGTATAGCTTTTATTTTTGTTTATTCTTCTTTTTTTAACATGTGAAACTAGCGAATAGAGGTTAACACTAGTAGATGGGGTATCCCCACCACACTGTGTGTCCTACTTCTGTAGTCATCTCTAAAACCCCGGTGCACATCTTGTATCTTACATTGTAGCCTGTGTTCTAGTGCTCTTTTTAATATGTGCAACAGTTTTTGTTCTAATTGTTAGAAACTATTTTGATAATTAAAATGTTTTTTTCATCATAGATTTGGTTTTGCTGTTTTTAATGCATGTGTGTGTGTGTGTGTGTATTGAGAGAGAAAGATGACTTGTAAAGTATTATAAAACAAAGTGTTTGCTTAAATGTATGTTAAAGAACAATTAACTAGGCTTAACTAAATACATTTTTATTAGAGGGCAAACTTCAGAATTTTGTTACTATATCCTTTTTTTCTTTTTTACCTAAAATTCTTTAAAATATTTATTTTCTACTGAGGAGTTGGAAATCATATATGCATATTAATTCCTTTGTATTATGCATTTGTTTTCCAAACAAGATAGATTGAAAATGCATTTTCAGGTGTTGCTCAACAACAAATAAATTTATCACAAGTCTTTATCACTGTAATCATCTTAAACTTGTGTATACATGACATTCACAGATATGTTTTTCATCTTTTCAGAAGAACAAAAGAGTATGTGTATTATTTTGTTTTTTGTTAATTATGGGATTTTATTTTCCATAACACTGTCTGGATGATAAATGTTACACTTGCATGAAGCCTTTCCTTCAAATTTATTATAGAAAAACTGTCTTTACGTAAAAGCATCATATACATACCATGTCAGTCATGAGCTTTACCCTCTGATTAGTTTTGTGTAGGGTATGTACTCATTTACAAAAGCAAGAAACGCCTTTCAGTGGTAGCTGTTTTATTGTAGTATTCAGTTTCCAGTCTATATGGCTATTTGTAGAAAGTATTTTCTATAGATGAATTATAGTACGAGTCTGTTAGTTCAAGTTATTGGATTTTCAAGGAACAGTAGTCTAAAACTTTTTCCTGTAAATACTAGGAAATAGGAAGTTACAAATAATGAACTAACACACTGAAGTTAAATTCATTAATAGTTTTATTAATGTGGGATAGTAAACACCAAGTTTGACTTTTCTTTTTTATTCTTGTAAGTATTAAAAAGCTATTAAACAAACTTAGTTATGAGTCACCTGCTGTGTGTGACTACATAAATCTGTTTGATACTTTCCAAAGCATATGATTTTCTCATTTCAAACAAAAATTATTTGAAAATAATTTTAGTGTGGTAAGGTAATATTAGTATTCTGAGCAATCAACTTAATCTTTGTGTATCTGAGTATTTTTAATAAGTTTTATTATAGTAGTCAGTGACCATAATTTTTAAAGAAACTTGTGTACATTTAAAAATTTTTAATATAAAACCCTTTTTCTTATCAAGACATTTGTCAATGTGTTATCATAAACTGTTTAGTATGCCATTATATCACCGTTATGACCTTCAGGAAAATGCTTGACGTTAAGAACGACATGTAAACCCATACATTTTGTGATCCAATTTAATGTGAACTAAAACTTTATTGTTGAGCATGGCCAAATATCTAATGGTAGAGAATTTTTTTCTTCTTCTTCAGAAAAACAAGTTTTGCTTGGTAAATCATTTTGTGGCTGTGCTTTCTCCACCATATTTACCAACCACTCATTATACTAGGGCAATTAACTGATCAGTATAAAGAACTACCTATGAGCATAAATTACGTAGATTAGTGTCACATAAAATAATGAACAAACCAAAATTAATGTTAACAGTTATAATTTTCAGTTATTCCAACTTGTTTAAGTCTCATGTTAGAATAATCAGTTATCAGTTTCCACTAATTGCCCAGTTCTATCTCTCGTCAGTAACAAAGGAATAAAATTGGATATCCAGTGCAATTATTTCACCGATTGTACAATAAGCTATTTAGTATATAATGATAATTAATGTCTTGTGTAACACAATTGAGTGGTTTGTTTTGTGGTTATCCTAGCACTTGAGACCACACTTAGTGTTAGATTCAGCAGACTTTAAAGTTTTAAAAAAGTTTTTAGTTTTGAGTATCTGTATTTTTTCAGCTTCTTTCTATTTGCTATCACATAAAATTAATGTACTACAGAAGTTTTACATCTTTAAAAATCTCCAATTACTTCAGAGTAATTCTACACAGTTACACGGGACTTTACATTTTTAAACCATTCTTCATGCCACTGGTTGCCATCGTCAGCTAAGTCAGAGTTTGAGATCAATGTATGCATTGCAAGGTTTATTTAGTGTTGTATGTTACAACTCGGTTATATTGTACTTAAAGAAGCATTAAACATATCCACACACACACACACACACACACACACACACACAC